CTTAGTTGTATGACATTCCTTAAAAATAATAATATTATTATTATTACTTTGAGAATTGCATTGTACTATACAGTAGTAATATATTCAGTCATAATTTCAAGTTAAACCGGACTTTTATTTTGACGGTTTGTCGTGAAGGTCTTTCAGTTTCAGTTTCAGCGTGTATTTGACGGTACTCTTTCTCAAATGAAACGGCATAAAGCTGGTGAAGTGACTCTCAGAGCAGCTCTGAAGATGAAGTGCATGTGTTTATGTCTTCATATATTGAGACGCAGACGCTGAAAACACCGCGAGTCACGTGTGTTTGAGTTTGTGTATCAGATGAAAACTACTCCACGCATTCACAAAGACACACAAAACATGCAGACTTATTAGCGACATGCACTGACTGGTTGCTGTAACATTTATTTCTGTTGTGTGATAGGATTTTAGATTAATCAATATTGAGTAAAAATGTCCAGAGCTTATCATCATCATTAACATAAAATGTATTATAATCTCGATATGATATCATTTATCGCCCTGCGCTAATTTAGGCTATTTATAGAACGTGCTTGGCGGGCGACTCAAGAGACTCCATGCGGGCTACCAGGTGCCTACGGGCACCACATTGGTGACCACTGGTCTAGATATTATCCTAATGAGATGGAGGATGATGTACTGGGGTATCTCCTGCCAGACCTAGATCAGGGCATCAAGTCAAGTCACTATTATTTATATAGTGATTTTTTACAATGCAGATTGTGTCAAAGCAGCTTTAAATTATTAAACAGGGAAAATAGTGTGACAAAATAATGTGCCGTTCTCCTATGGCCAGACGAAACCATTAATTCTAGGCTGCAACAAAGTCAGATTGTGCAGAGGACTCATCTGGTTCCCGTGGCCTTGTCCCGATGGCCGTCTAGGTGACGAGGTCTTCGGAGGGGATCTATCTCTGGGGCACATCTAGTTGACATGGCTGCTTCAGATGCTCCGGTACATAATGTCCCAGAGGTCCTCAATTGGCAGGTCTGGGGAATGCGAGGGCCAGTCAATGGCATCAATGCTTTCATCATCCATAAACTGCCTACACCAGGGGTGCCCAAACTCGGTCCTGGAGGGCCGGTGTCCTGAAGAGTTTAGCTCCAACCCCAATTAAACACACCAGAACCAGCTAATCAAGCTCTTACTAGGCATACTAGAAACTTGAAGGCAGGTGTGTTGAGGCAAGTTGGAGCTAAACTCTGCAGGACACCGGCCCTCCAGGACCGAGTTTGGGCAGCCCTGGCCTACACACTCTGGCCACATGAGGCCAAGCATTGTCATGCAGCAGGAGGAACCCTGGGCCCATTGAACCAGCGTAAGCTCTGACAGCATTAGCTAGCACATGGAGGTCTATGCGACCTCCATCAACCATCAGCTCCACTCCGGGTTCACCATTTCCCGCTCCTCACTCCACTCCTCACTCAACTGATCAGAAACGCCGCTCCGCCTTCGCTCCATGACAAAATTTGCAGCTAAAGTATTTCAGTATGTTTTAAAATATCACAAAGTTCTGTTGAGAATTTATATTAAATGAAAAATAAAGACATAATACTGAAGAATAGTTTTAACGTGGTTTATTGGAACATTACAATTAGCCCAAGTCTATATTAAATGACTGTTTAACTCACTTGTCTGTGCAGCGTCTCTACTATGACGAATAGTTACTTTAGAAACAGAAAGAATATGCTGTAACTTTTCAGTTTTTAAGCTGATAAATCACAGGACAGCATTAAGTTTTCTGCACTCCTGAATGTTTATATATGCGCGAGATCTGTACACTATGTGCGAGCTTGTGTGTTGTGTACACACGTGCAGTAATGTATCAGCACATTAGTTTAGAGCGGAGATTAACTATCTGTACATTAAACTGTTTAAAACGTAAATTCACCCAATCAATATTGAATATCCACAAATAAACATGCTTAAGATATAACCTCCCGCACTCGTCCATCACTATCATTATAACCTTCACCTTCTTTCTGATTTGCGTGATCCACATATCTGTCAAGCTAACCAATGATGCTTAATGTGTGAATTCTTGATAAAAAGCAGTTATATTATGGGCTGCTGGCATTAAAGGGTTAGTTCACCCAAAAATGAAAATTCAGTCATTAATTACTCACCCTCGTGTTGTTCCAAAACCACAAGACCTTTGTTCGTCTCTGGATATAAGATATTTTTGATGAAATCTGAGAGCTCTCTGACCCTGCATAGACAGCAACATTACTGAAATGTTCCCAGGTCCAGAAATGTACAAGCATTGTTTACATGAACCGGAAGCAAGCGCATGCGTCGTGATACTCTCTCCACAATGGCAGCGCACTGCTGCAGACAGGCTGAGGAGGAGAAGAATTGTTGAATAAAGTCGTTATTTTTGTTTTCTTTGTGCACAGAAAGTATTCTCATAGCTTCATAACATTATGGTTGAACCCCTGACATCACATGGACTATTTCATCAATGTCCTTGCTTACTGAAATGTTCCCAGGTCCAGAAACGTACAAGCATTGTTTACATGAACCGGAAGCAAGCGCATGCGTCGTGATACTCTCTCCACAATGGCAGTGCACCGCTGCAGACAGGCTGAGGAGGAGAAAAATTGTTGAATAAAGTCGTTATTTTTGTTTTCTTTGTGCACAGAAAGTATTCTCATAGCTTCATAACATTATGGTTGAACCCCTGACATCACATGGACTATTTCATCAATGTCCTTGCTACGTCTCTGGCACTGGAAACATTGCAGTTGCGTTGCTGTCTGCAGGGTCATAGAGCTCTCAGATTTCATCAAAAATATCTTAATTTATTTTTTCCGAAGATGAACGAAGGTCTTACGGGTTTGGAACAACATGAGGGTGAGTAATTAATGACTGAATTCTCATTTTTGGGTGAACTAACCCTTTAATTGTGCACGTGATGGAGTGCTAGTTGAGCGCTCTCTGAGCAAAAAATCCACTCCTCGCTCCACTCACATACTCTGAACCTGAGGGTGCAGGTACTGCCTCTGGCTACAGGTAGTAAGGAGGACCTTAACAAAACACAAGACTAGAGACAAATCAGTCAGGAACAATAAGAAGAGAGCAAATGTCTGTGGCCATCACCTGCAAAACCATTCCCTTTTTGGGGGTTGTTTTGCTGTTGCCTCTCCAGTGCACCTGTTGTCACTTTCATCTGCACCTAAGCAGGATTCTGGAAACTGATTCACAATCACTTTATACTTCCTAACTGGAGCGATTAATATCCCTGAAGTTAAATTGATGATATACTGTGATGATTAAGTGTTCCCTTAATTTTTTGGGGCAGTGTATTTCAATCTTGTTTCAATTACATGTCACATAACACATGGTCTATAGATGATGAGAACATTTTCATTTTGAGTGCACCCTTTAAATATATAGTACATGAAAACACATAACATCCTGATAACTGTTTTCATTGATTAGAGGAACACAGAGAAAGAGAAATCAGCCAGTGTTGAGCTCTTCACTGATCTGAGTCGCTCCATTGAGAGATGTCAGTCTGAGCTGCTGAAGATGATGGAGGAACAGCAGAAAGCAGCAGAGAAACAGGCTGAAGATCTCATTAAAGAGCTGCAGCAGGAAATCACTGATCTGAAGAAGAGAAACTCTGAGCTGGAGCAGATCTCACACACCGACGATCATCTGCACCTCCTACAGGTCTGTCAACATCTGTCTCATCACTGAGAATGCAGAATATTATTGGTCAAATGCTCTGCTGACAAACCTGATGAGCTGTTGTAAGCTACATGGTAATATAAAGATCTAACTTTACTGTAGGTTCTAAGCTTTAAAAATCATACAGAATTGAAAGAAGCCATAAATCACATTAGCCAAATGAGTTAAGGTAAGATGCTACAGACAAAAACATTGTAAAACACTTTTATGTTTATTCAGTGCAATGTATCTATTTGCATCTGTAGAATTGTGTTTCCTTTACAATACATGTTTGAAGGCTGTGATTTTTTTTCTGCACTGAGCAGTTTTATTTTAGTATCATTCAGATACTATTATAGTTTAATAATATTTTAAATTAGTTTTTATTTTTATATTTTTTGTTTTCATTTGAATTGTTTTAGTAATTTTGTTTATTACTTTTGTTCGTTTTGTTTCTATCCATATTCTGAAGAGTTTTACAGAAGGTTTGTCCATATACCTGATTTTAAATGACATTTTATTCATAAAAGCATGGTGAAAAGGTATTTTCTTCTGGCAGTTGACAATATTTATGGAATGATTAAAATGGAAAACCAAAATCTCATTTGTAAAATCCTTTAACTCTAACATGTCAATAATATAAAACAAGAATTTGGAAGCTAGCTTTATCCATTGTCCTCAGATTTCTGTTCTGGATTATTAATGCAATTTAGTGTATATTTGTTTAGACAATGCATCATTTGCATATTTAAATATTTCAGAAAACTTGTAATACAGATGATATTTGCAGTTCTTTGGGGGACCCCAAAGCTGATATCCATACTTTGGATACCCTAATCACCTGCGGTGTCTTACCTTAATTGTGGTAGAAAGCTCTTGCATAAAAACATTTTGAATGAATGAATGAAACATATTTAATTAACATAATTAAAAATAGAAAGGAAAAAAACATATTTAATAGTCTTCTCTCTCCTGCTGTAGATGTACTCATCCCTATACAGTCGTCCACACATCAAGAACTGGACTGAGATCAGTATTGATACTGATGTGAATGTGCTCCCTCTGCATAGAGCTCTGACTCAACTGAAGAAAACACACAAGGCTCTAAATAAAAAACTCAGTAAATCAGGTATGTGAATCAGATACAGTGTAGAATTACAGTGCTCCTATGTCACAATACCTGTCTTTGGGACTTAAAGGGATCATATGATGCGATTTCAAGTTTTCATTTCTCTTTGGAGTGTTACAAGCTGTTCGTGAATAGATAAGATAAGATAAGAAAGTTGCAAAGACTAAAGTCTCAAACCCAAAGAGATATTCTTTATAAAAGTTAAGACTCGTCCACACCCTCCTAAAACACCTTGTTTAAACACGCCCCCACATGTCTACGTCGTGTGTGCAACGCATGTTTCCTGAACCTACAATGCCGGCTGTTCTGACTCACAGCCTGTAAGTACGTTTTCATATTTAAAGGATTTGCCACTGATGATTCAAACGCGAGTTTTGAGCAGTGTAGAGTAGGGCTTGTTGTTTGTCATTTCTCCGATCACAAATGCAGACATGGTTTTATGTTTACGCGGCACGATGCAACGCAACGCATAAAAAGACAGTATAAGTCATTATAATCAGTAATTATGTCCCCACTGGATGCAACGAATGCCTCGTTTATAATGGGTTTTAATGTTTTTGTCTCGTCGCTCCGGCCGAACAGGGCATCACAATATGGTAAGGGGCGTAACATTTCCGTCACACGCTTGAGGTATTCGGCCAATCACAACGCACTGGATAGCTGGCCAATCACAGCACACCTCGCTTTTCAGACCGATGAGCTTTGTAAAAATCAAAGCGTTTCAGAAAGGCGGGGCATAGAGGAGAAACAATAATGTACAGTATGTGGAAAATAATGTATTTTTTTAACCTTAAACCGCATAAACACATTTTTATTACACCAAATACACCAAATAATGTTCTTTTTTAGCAACATCATATGACCCCTTTAAGTAAAAGTAAACAGTTGGGAAAGAAATCGAATGTGTATCATGATAGTGGATGCACTGTCTCTTAAAGTGACCGCGCCTAGTTTACTAGCTGCTGTCAGTGTCCTTAATGTTAATCCAAGAAATTAAATGGAAATCCCTCACAGCTCTTTACTGAATTACTTTGTAGATTTAACAAGAATTAATCTATATTTATGTTATACAGTGAAGACTATGCAATGCTATTTTACATTTGATTATTCAGTTTCTGTACATGGACACCTACAAACTTGAAAACTTAAACATTGTTTAATTTGCATCTTTGCTCTATTTATTTATTTGTGCTATTTACACAATTTCAAACAAAGCCAACGGATGCAAACTGCACTGGGGCCCCACAAACACCAGCTACGGCCCTGAAAATCAGTGCAGTGACAAATTTCTTCCTAGTTGATTAAACATGTTAGTTATTTTAAGTGTACGTTAACAATAACAAGTGTTTTAATGTTAATTATTTGTATATTAGGTATATTATTAATGTATATTATTTACTGTTAGTGTTTTAATGTATATTATTTGCTTTTTGTAAACAATTAGTTGTGTAACGCATTGACAAATGTTAGGTAGACTTTACCAAATTTCTTCTAGTGTGTTACAGCCGTTAAACTAAGTTAGTATTTATTTCGTTAATCTATCTAAACAAATTCAGTGCATATTGTTGCCATAATGTTATTGAGTAGATTCTATAGGTTTGATTTTACGGTGAAAAGAGATATAATTTTAGTAATAAATAAAATAAAAATATATATTTATCTGAAATATTCCTATATACAATTCATCACACTTATATTGTCATCTGTGTTCACAGGGTTGGGATGGGCTCAGAAGTATGCAGGTACAGTGTGACTGACACCATTTTCTCCAATACACTTTAAATAATTTATAATCTGCTTTACAAACATATGAAAATGTTTGTTCTGAAGTTGACTGATAATGTCTGATCTCTCATCTAGTGGATGTGACTCTGGATCCTGATACAGTGAATCCATATCTCATCCTGTCTGATGATGGAAAACAAGTCAGGCATGGAGACATTAAGCAGGACGTCCCAGAAAACCCAAAGAGATTTGATGACTATTGTGTTCTAGCAAAGCAGGGATTCAGTTCAGGCAGATTTTACTACGAGGTGCAGGTGAAGGGAAAGACTGGGTGGAGTTTAGGAGTGGCCAGAGAATCTATTAACAGGATGGGGGACATTAGTCCGAGTCCTGAGGATGGACTTTGGTCTATGGTATTGATTAATCGGAGGCAGTATATAGCTTGTGATAATCCAGCAGCTGCTTTCTCTCACAGAACGACACCTGAGATTGTGGGAGTGTTTGTGGATTATGAGGAGGGACTGGTCTCTTTTTATGACGTGGGCTCCAGCTCTCATATCTACTCTTTCACTGGTCAGACTTTCACTGACAAACTCTATCCATATTTTGGCCCAGGCCTAAATGATAAAGGTAAAAACTCAAACCCACTTATAATTTCACCCAGGGGCGCCGCTAGCAATTTTGGGCCCTATGAAAGAATATGAGGTTGGGCCCCCTACCGCACCAAACATACACTATATTGCCCAAAGTATTGGGAAAACTCAATAAAACAAAAAAAAAACTCATCGCCAAACACCAATGACTTGTACATATGCGTACAATCATTTTG